TCACCATGCTATCACCATTGTCATGATCTTCGTCATTGCTTCATCACTTGGAGTAGTGCTACCTATCTCATAAACATCTTGATAAACTAGGTTAGCACTTAGGGTTTCATCAATTAACCAAAACCAAACTAGAGCTTTCAACCTCCCACTGATCTCCATCATTGATTCATCATCATAGTGAGATTGAGAGTAATTCCAAGTGCATTTGCTTGAGTGATTGCATCTAGTGGCACTTGGGGATCATTGTGGCTATGGATTTCTTATTTCTCTTGGTGGTTGCCGCCACCTATATGGCTTGGAGCAGTAGAGGAGCTTTGGCACATGTTGGTGATTGTTCATGGCCGACTCCGGTGATTGTGAGGGGTCTTATACGTTCCCCAACGGAGAGCCAAAAGATAACTCTAGTGGATTGCTCGTGTCATTGAGTTACCTCACTTGTGGGTAGGTTCTTATGGTGTCCAATTATGTGGACGAGGTCCGTGTAATACCTCTTAACCGCTGAACCACCAAGTGTTGGTCGACACAACGAGGACTAGCATGTCGGCAAGCACGTGAACCTCGGGAGAAAAATCTTGTCTCTTGTGTGATTGGATTTCTCCCGATGATTGGTTGTCATCATATTGTGATTGGTTCATCCCTCGACGCGGCGGTATAATCACCTTGCTCATTCCTTTACATTCCCATAAACTAGTTGTAGCAAGCTCTTTAGTGTAGATTTGAAAGCGTGCTTTGTAGCTTAAGTTCATCTAGTGGAGCTCTTTAGTGTAGCAAGTTTGAGAGCTCTTAGTGAGTAGCAACATAGCCTCTTGTGTGCCTAGCGATCATAGTAACTAGAATTATTTGATAGGTGGCTTGCAACCCTTGTAGAGCTAGAGCAAGTTTATATTTTGCCGTTTGTCATACTAACTAAATTGTTCTAGTTGGTTTGTAGATTTTTAAATAGGCTATTCACCCCCTCTAGCCATATTAGGACCTTTCAAGTGTGTGTACATTGATTCGTCGTCAGTTGAGATCCAATCTACCACCAAATATTGAAATCTAGCACTATCCCGACTCTCAGTCCTAACTAAGTCCTCCATGAGCAATATGTACATGTTAGGTTTTATGCACCAATCGGATGAACTCAAAAGCTTAAGCCAATGGGAAGAGATGGACAATCCACTTATACTTCAACACTCCCACTCAAACATGGAAATAAAAGGAGCGGAGGACTTAAATGACGTCTCTGTCGGGACTCGAACTCAAGACCTCTGGCTTTGATACCATGTTAGGTTTCATGCACCAATCAGATGAACCCAAAAGCTTAAACCATTAGAAAGAGGTGGGTAATCCACTTATACTTCAATATACAATACTTCATCACTTGATGTAAGTTTGTATATGGATCTAGATGTGCACGTGCATATATTGATTCATATTAGCTTGATCCTTCTATTCTTCTCAAATCATGTTGTTAGTTTGACCATGCTCCATTGTTGATTATGTATTTTTTTCCTTTCTTGTCGATTATGAGCTGAATCGAGGTAGCAAATGAGCCAAGCCGAGCTTTCAGCTTGTTATGAGGATAAATACCAATAACAATATACATGGCTCATGTAGTCTTTATAGGTGTACCTATATCAGTGGACTTTAATTGTTTTCATTGTGCATTACTCTCAAGCCCAATTTAGTTCATGTAGTCTTTATAAGTGTATCTATATTAGTAGGCTTTAACTATTTTTATTGTGCATTACTCTCTAGTCCAATTTGGAACAAAAGAGTAGCAAATAAAAAAATCCATCTCAAGCCCAACTACCTGCCATCTCCCTCATTTCTGTCTCCCTCCTCGCTCTCCTCTCGTCTGTTTCCCACTGTTGACGTTGCCGCCACCTGGCTCACACCACTGACAATGACTCAATCCAGACCAATCCTCCCTCTTCACTTATCAGGTCCTAGTTGGGCGGCAACAACCACTGTTGCATCTGTCATCTTCACACCGTGTGTGCACTCTCTCCCTTTCTCTCTCTCTCTCTCTCTCTCTGTCTGCAAGCAACGACTGGGTGGGCTACCGCCGCCACCACCCTACGCTAGGTGCCAAGGCCTTCACTAATCTCTTCATTAGTGAAGAGGGCCCACCATGTATTCCCACACCACACTCTCTTCCGCGTCTACTGTGCGAAACTAAGTTCTCAAATCCTTTTTTTGAAATCGAGTTCTCAAATTCTAACCTCAAGCTATTTGGCTATTCAATGCCTACCAACTTCTAACTGTTTGCAAAAATTAGTGTCTGATGTCCCTTTACTAGATCCTCCCCTGCCTTCAAGTCTGAGCACCTTATGGTTGGTGTTGCTGAGCCTGCATCTGCACATCATGTATCTGTAATTCTAGAAGAGCCAGATGTTTCATCATCGAAAGGATTGCAGATACATCTCTCTTTATAATTCCAGATGTTGGCATTGATGAGTACTACCTAACCATGACTACAGACATTGAGATCAAAAGGACTACAGATACATCTCTCTTTACAATCCAAGCCATGATTAATGTAGTAGTAATTTGATTTTACACACTTATTTTTTTTTCAGAAAATCAGCCGCCAATAGAAGAAATGTCCTTAATTTTTGGGTATAGAAACCTCAAGCGTTGAACCCTCCCCACACACGCACCCACAAAACAAAAGAAAATTGCCAAGAAATATGATGAGAAGAGAAAGAAACTTCTATGATGTACCTCGCCTGCCATCTCCACAAACCACCATTAAGGGCATGCCCAACAGAGAATAACAACATCGTAGTTACAGCCAACAAAGATAGAGAAAGTTTGTAGCTATAAGTCTTCCATAGCAAAGACAAACTTTCTCATTTTAATAAGGTTCCATCGTCTGTACCTAAAGCTAAAAACTAACTTTTGCTTTACCTGGGGAATGTGGTTCTACATTTGCACAATGCACCTAGGTGTGAAGCGGTTTGCCTGCAAGGTATCCTTAGTCCTGACACCCTCCAAGTCTATCAACTGATGATTTAACCCTTGTTTAGTTCCCAACCCAAAACTTTACATCCTATCACATCGAATGTTTATGTAGTATTAAATATAGATTAAAAAATAACTAATTGCACAATTTGCGACTAATTTGCGAGACGAATCTTTTAACCCTAATTAGTCCATAATTTGATAATAAAGTGCTACAGTAAGATATGTGCTAATGACGGATTAATTAGGCTTAATAAATTCGTCTCGCGGTTTACTAGCGGATTCTGTAATTTGTTTTTTTATTAGTATCCGAACACCCCATACGATACCCTCATGTAACATCTAATATGACATCCCAAAACTTTACACGCTGAATCTAAACAAGGCCTTAGATACTGGAGGTATAGGCTAGGGCTACTAGAGTCTAGTGTTACGCAAAACCTAAGACACTACACCCTCCATGCTAGGTGTCAAGTTATGGGACCCACTTGTAAGGTTGAAAATGGACGGAAAAAATTTCGTTCCAACCCAATCCGTTTTCTACTTTCTTCCGTCAGTTTTCGTATTTGTGGGATCCCGTTTCCGTATTTACGGAAACGGGAAAGGGGTTTTTCCGACCGTTTTCGTGAGATCCCGTTTTTATCCAGAACTGACCCGTATTTATTCCCTTCTTCATTCCGTTTTCAATCTATGTGAGATATGTCTAGAAATTGATATGTTCATAAACCTACTAATCACAAATTATGCATGTTAACATCTTAACACATGGTATACTAGTGAATATTGGACCGATAATTTTGTACGTGTATATTATTTTGTGACTTTGTTCATATATACTAAGAATATTTGATCATGTTATTCTAACTTATTTTTTCGATTCTCCGTTCGTATTTGTCTGTTTCCGTATTTCCGTATATCCCCATCCATTTTTAATTCTGTTTTTTCCCCCGAACCCGATCCCGTTTCCGCTAAAAATATAGAAACAGAAATGGGAGAGAAGTTTTTCCACCCGTTTCGGTCCGTTTTCATCCCTACCCACTTGTAATAAGACCGTAAGATGTCTCCCACCATTGTTTCTTCTCCTGTAAAAAAACAAAGTTGTATAACTTGAAGAAAAAAAAATCAGCCGCAAGCCCTATAAGGACGTAGTGCCCACCTTCTTCCAAAAGGCTCCGTCACAGTAGCACACCTTTCAAAAGGCTACGTCACACTAGCACAGGCTAGTTCCCAGCATGACTGCATGAGTGAGCGATAGGAATACGGGGATAACCGAGGATAAGGGTATTTTGTAATTTGCCAGCTACATCGGTTTGCGCATCCAGTCCTGTAGTTATAATTTTTTTTGTGGGATGGAGGGAGTAGAGATCTACAGTATCGTTGGTCACTTGTGATATCAATGCCACCTCATCTAAATCCCAACCAAAATGTTTAACATCGTTCTTGAAAAATGGCCATCACATGATACTTTGTATATTTAACGCAACTCCTTCACTCACTGAGTATTCAAAGAAGAAAGTTCTTTATATCGTTTTACAATTTCCTATCAAATTTGTCAAGACAAAAAATGTAATGTTACCTAATAAAACAGAAATGGTTGCTCCTTCATTCGTCTGTTATGACTTTTGAGTCCAGTGTATTTGTAATTTACAGTTAAAATAAGTGCCTATTCTCTTGGCATCAGATTCCCTCGTTGACAGAAATCGTATACCAGTTTAATATCATATACTTTATATAAATTCACATCAGTTTTTTAAAAAAAAGAGATGAATCGTATCACTTGACAACTTTCCAGTTCACGCTTGACAGGGCATTTGCGGTCACTGGAATTGGAAGAAGCCCCTCGCAATAAACTACTGTACGCATCTGATCTGACTGACCCCACCCGCTCGCCTCCCACCCACGCGTTCCAGCTCACGGCCCACGGCCACCACCTCGCCGGCGGCCGCAGCGGCGCTACGGCGCTCGGCTAGGGTTCCCGCGGCGCCTCCCCTCCACCCCCTAACGAAAGCGAGAGCGGGGCATCCGCGCCGCCCGGAGGGGGCAAGACGGAGATGGTGTTCGTGTGGCTCACCGCGTTCTTCCTCGTCGTCGCGCTCATCGTGCTCGTCATCTACCAGGTCAGCGCCGCCCTCCGTGCTCCGGAATAATCCCTACCCGCGCTGGGCTCGGTAGGATCTTTCTGTGGCCGATTCCCCGCCAAATTTGAGGCGGCTCGGGCTGTTTCAAGGATTGGGTTTCCGGATTCACACGTCGTTTCTCAGTCCAATCCTCAGTGGTCTGGGGTCTAGAGCGAGTAGTTAATCTGAGAAATTTTAGGCCTGGAGGTGTCTATTTGTCTGGCTGGTGGAGAAGGACTCAGGATTTGGTTGCGATGCTGCGTTCTAGTGAATGTTTCAACTAGTTGGTGATGGATGTGTAGTGTTTGATGCCCGATGCATTTTTTTTTTCGTTTTGTGCCGTTTATACATTGTAAATTTGTGACCTTTGCTAGGAATTCACACCAGGATCAAATTTACTTGTCTTTCTAGCCTCGCAGTTGCTACCTTTTGAGGAATTTGGATGCTTTTTCCTCATCTTTTAACTGATATAAGCATACTTGGCCTTAAACTGTTACTGATAATCTAATTCTTCCGTTTCTCTTTGCAGCTGATGTGCTTGGCAGATCTAGAGTTCGACTATATCAACCCATTTGATTCATCCTCTCGAATAAATAAAGTCGTGATGCCGGAATTTGTGTTACAAGCGCTTCTCAGCGTACTGTTCCTCTTATCTGGCCATTGGGCGATGTTCTTACTTTCTTTCCCATTGGTGTACTACAATTATACGCTGTAAGTGCCGCTTGTCTTGTAACTACCTCTTAAAGCAACTAGGAATATGATCCTGTAGGCTCTAACTAATGTGAAGTTATGGGATTGGCAGCTTGTTGATTCTACATTGTTGCTAAATTATCGGTCTAATATGGATAGAGTAAACATGCAATTGAAAGTTGGAAAGTGTACTGTGCTGGCTCCTCGTACTAAGAATCAAAAGAAAAGGAGGAAATATGTGCTCGGAACTGACTTAACTGTTTTGAGCTTTTGGGTCACAAATTGTTGGATTGAAATAATCATATGTTAAGGGATTGTGTCTCCTGCTTTTAACTCTTTGCTTGGTACTTTACACATGACATACTGAATATAGTTACATGATTAAGGTGGTACAATATATAGCAGATCTTTTTCTTATATTTTTCTAACCCAAATGCTACTCATATATGCTCACAAGCTGGCTCGAATTGCTACAAACTTAACATCTCATCAGCATTGGACGTGTGTAGGGAGTAGGGACACAGTTTTACATAGTTAATTAACTATTCACTTCTGTTTAGGTGCTTTGTGTTGTTGTGCTGTTCTCGTTAAATTTATGCTGGGTGTGCTTGGTGAGTGATCGAATAGACAGTCTATGTCTACCTTTTTTTTAGTCAAGCATACAAGGTTCTAAAACACATTAAACGAACAACCTATAAATATCACACAATTGGGTGAAACAAAAAGTATCTGCAAAACCATCTTGTTCTGTAAACTATTCAGGAAGCATAACTTGTATTCTAACTTAAAATAGAGTAGTTCATCTGAGAAGAAAAGAATATCTCTTTTGCAGCCAACATAAGGCCACAATCTGTACCCTTATCTTTTGCTGTCTCTGCTCATATGTGTTGTGTGACCTTGGTGGTTACATAAGTACTGATGCAGCTAATTTCTAATTTTATTGAACCAAATCACCATATTCTTAATACCAAATTTAGTTAGTGATCAGTGTGGCACAGCTGTACACATGTTGATGTTAGTGAATATAAGCAAGAAGTACCTATCACAGGACATGGAACTTTAGAGGAGTTATACAGCTTCTAATTATGTCATTGAAATGTTGGTCAAAACATTCCTAGTCTTTATGTTTTTTTCAATGTTGAAGGAAGAACGAAGAGTGACAGATATGACCTGACCGTTTTTCAAAATTGGTGCCATTAGGTTTCTATAGCTGGTGGTTAAAGCTCAACCTTATCAGTTGATACTATAACCGGGAGCTGGCTGGATACCTTTCTTCTTCTGGCTGCTTTGGGTTATACCTTACCTTGCTAGACTTGTCAAGCTTAGAAAGTTCCTTTTTCATTCTCCTCAACCACATAAAAGGGAAATAACAACTGCAACAAACAGAGAGTACCATGTCAGTGGTTATTAACTTTGCTATCGTTACTGTAGTTTCTCCTCCTCGATAATTTGCTATTTATGGCCACTAAGCTGTCCAGTTTCACTTTTCAGAACCTTTTCTTGTTCAGACAGTAACCATCAATTAGTTATTAAAATTAAACTACTTGGAAAGTTGGAAACAAGCAACTCTAGTTTCCTTTCAGCACTGGCCATGGATAAGTTTATATGTTTTATGGCTTTTGTAGGTACCAGCGGCGGCAACATCTGGTAGATGTGACAGAGATATTTAATCAACTTGGCCGTGAGAAGAAGCGCCGCCTTTTTAAGATAGTTAGTCTCATAGTTCTCCTCTTCCTGTCCTTGTTCTGGTAAGTTCGCTATGGATACCTCGATTATTTGATAGTCACTGCAAGTCTGCATCTACCAAACGAGAAACTAATAATTGCCATTTGGTTGTTTGTCTCCAGGATGATCTGGAGTGTATTGTCGGAGGAGGACGAGTAGGCTGACAAAATCCGGATGGTAGCTCACTCTGATCTTGCAATCTTTAGTTAGGTAACACCACACGAGAGTCGTCATGGCAAGCTGAACATATCTTAGCCTTAACACTTTCATATTGTTAACTAACTTTTGATGAAATATATGGTTGAATGTAGGCTATCTGGTTCAGTGTGAGGGAACAAAAAGAAACAATATGCCCCCCCCCACACACACACCACCACCACACACACACACACACAGTAAGATTGATGCACCGGGCTGGTTATTGTTCAGTTTAGCAAAAGCTCCAACTGTTGTAGCGTGCACCATGTGTATCATGAGCCACTCCCGCAATTTGTTGAATTGGACTGCGCATCAGCTCTCACAGGGCAAAGAAATAGTTCCACAGATTTGTGCATAAGTTTGTGCTCTTTTAATTTGCCTAAACCCTGCTAAGCTGCCACCATATTTGATGGTTCATCTTTTTTTTTTCTTTTGTTGGAGTTCCCTCGTATCTGATGTTACCCCTAATCATCATTAGCAGTGCATTTGCTGGTTAAATTGCCGGCTCTTGGAGTTTCCAGTGCATCTTGCTGGTACTGATGCAGGTCACCACCGGTGCTCTGTGAACAGTTGTGTTGGACCAGGAACTGCTGTTTGCTTGGCCGTAGGCCGTAGCATTTCTTACAACCATTGCAACCGCGGCAACTCAGACACCTGATCGACGCGGCTGCCATGAATAGGGTTCAAAACGGATGGAAACGGGCGGACCGTTTCTATATTTTCTGGCGGAGACAGGATCGGGTCCCGAAGAGCCGAATACGCGGAGGTAATGAAATGAACAAATATGGACAAAAATTCAACGGAAACGTTCGGATCTAGAAACTTTAGTCGGGATCAGATTACATGTTGAATTTATTATCTAAAATCAGGTCTTAGGCACACCCACACAAATATACATTATTATTTACGGTAATGCTAGGAACGGACGTCCGGACAGAGGACCGCTCTGTGTGCCCGTGTTTTTTTTTAAACCATAAGCCATCAGGTTTATTTATTTTGAGCGTCTGGAGGGACTACTCTGCGCCCCGCCGTGCCGTTGCTCCAGTCTGCACCGACTGTTTAGTGGGCTCGGATCCATGGACACAACGTAAGATAATATGTATATATACATGTATGTACGGAGGTCTTATTGGAAGTTCAGAACGTGAATACGTGATATGCATGTATACCAGAAGAGGACATAATCGACATCCATAGAGCGCTGTGCTGAATGACCAAAAATAATTATGGACCACAAATATACATGAGCCTGATCATATTGCGAGTCAACTTAGCATGATCAACATAAATGGCAACTATTTTCATAGTGGCCCTGATATGTTAGAGCCACATATGAAATATTTGTTTGGCCGGCTTAATAATTTATTTTGCCTGATTAACCATAGTCAACACTGCGCTAAAATTTCATCATCCACTGTCTTTAATGGTAATGCTATGAAGCGGTTGTCTGTTCGACGGACCGCTCCGCACGCCTTGCCCACGCCTCTCGCGCCCCACCCGTCCGCATCGTTGCTCGCTCCGGCCAGCGCGGATTCGCCCCAGCCGTTGCGCGCCTCGCCGGTGCGGCCATCTCGCAGGGCCACGTTAGTTCGTCGCGCCGCCCGCCCGTTGCACTAAAAGCGTATGTTATAAACATATGTCAAGTGTTTCAGATGGTCTAGATGTATGTTGCAAGTGTTCCATATGGATGTCACAAAAAAGTAGATCTAGATGTTGCAATAGATATACACATATGTTGCAAGTGTATATTCAAAATATTTCATCTACTTCAGACGTATGTTGCAAATATTTTATTTGAATGTTGCATATGTTGCAAGTGTATGTTCCAAATGTTTTATTTGCTTTAGACGTATGTTGCAGGAAGTGCTTTTCATGTTGCAAGTGTTTCATGAGTAGGCGAAGGCGGTCCCTGTGTGCACGATACGGATGTTGCAAAAGTAGATCCAGATGTCGTATATGTTGCAATGGCTATATACGTATGTTGACAGTATCTATTCAGAATGTTTCATTTACTTCAAACATATGTTGCAAGTGCTTTTATCTGAATGTTGTATATGTTGCAGTGGCTATACACATAAGTTGCAATTCCAAATATTTCATCTGCTTCAGACATATGTTACAGAAAGTGCTTTTCATGTTGCAAGTGTTTCGTGAGCAGGTGTAGGCACGGATGATCCCGTGTGTATATGTGTTTCATTTCCATATAAGGCCCATAGTTGAATGTTGCAACGTTAGTTGAGCAACAAAATAAAATATAATCTACATAAAGTCTAACAAGAGAGGTCAACGCCATCCCCTCTCGAGGTAGGGAAAGTGGAACATACGATCGTACGAGTGTTCATAACTCGAAATTAAAAAAGAATAATTAACGAGACACATAGGAAGATAATTTTTGTGGATACGAATAATGAACACGACACTTACAAAAATAACTTTTGTGGATAGATGGAGCGTCCGACGGATCTAGTGGTGCCGTATTATTTATCAATCAAGTTTACAAATTAGACGTGTAGTGCGCCTATGCAAGTACACGTATTTAATTTGGCCACGTATTATTCATCAAGCAAGTGCAGGTATTATTCATCAATCAAGTTAACACGTCACAAGTTAACATGTCATGGCACTAGGCAAGCAGCAAGCTAGTAGGCCCATGCTCACAGCGCACTGCAGGGAAGCAGCCGCAGGAAGGGATATGATGGGCCTTTTTTTTAGCTCTTGGGCCTCACAGATATATTGTATGTTGGGCTTATCCCGTATTTTACAATCTGGGTATAACACAGGTTCATCCCGCCCAAATACGGGATTCCGGTAATACGGGCGGGATCAAGACTTTCCCGTTTCCGTCCCGCACCCACCAACTCTCGACCCGTGTCCCGTCCGGTTTCCGAATTTTTCCAAAAATATAGAAACGGACGGATAAAATGTAGAAAACAGGACGGGTTGGGACGGGATATAACCCGTCCATTTTCGATCTTAGCCATGTGATGCGGCTATGGCTCCATTTGTCGCTAGAAGCCATGAATTGAAGCGGCGACTGTGGCTCCATCTGACGCTACAAGCTGAAACCATGGCAAGGGGTTTGATGCGGTTGTGGTTCCATCTGTCGCTACAAGCCATGGATTGATGCGGTGGCTGTGGCTCCATCTGCCGCTACAAGCCGAAGCCGTGTTGAGTGGTTTCCATGTTGAATTAAAAAATGGCTCAAAAAAGCAAAAGAAACAAGAAAGTCGCTCGCATATAGAGAAACAAGAAAGTCGCTTGCATATGTCAAGACCAGTATTTCGGTTGCGCAATTCTGACGAGTGCGGACCGCCACTCATCACTCATGAGAATCTAGAAAAACAATATTTTTTTCTTTTTTGTCTTCAGCTGTGGCTCCATCTGCCGCTACAAGCCATGAATTAATGCCTTTTTTTGTCTTTGGTTGTGGCTCCATCTGTCGCGACAAGCCATGAATTAACGCTACGGTTGTGGCTACATTTGTTGCTACAAGCCATGAATTGCTGCGGTTGTGGCTCTATCTGCCGCTACAAACTGAAGCCGTTGCAAGGGGTTTTCATGCTGAATTCGAAAATGGCTTAATAACACAGCAAAAGAAAGAAGAGTCTGCTCGCATATAGCAAGACCAGCAATCATCAAGATTTTCCGATGCGCAAGATGCGACTGTGGCTCCATCTGCAGCTACAAGCCAAAGCTGTGGCGAGGGGTTTCCATGCTGAATTCGAAAATGGATTAATAACATAGCAAAAGAAACAAGAAAGTCGCTCACATATGGCAAGACCAGATTTTCTATTGTGCAAGATGTGGTTATGGCTCCATCTGCCGCTACAAGCCAAAGCAGTGTGGCTCTATCTGCTGCTACAAGCCGCCGAAACAGTGTGGTGTGGCTCTATCTGCCACTATAAGCCACTGAAGCCATGTGGCTCCATCTGCCACTACAAGCCGAAGCCATGTAGCTCCATTTGCCGCTACAAGCCGAAGCCGTGGCAAGGGTTTCCATGCTGAATTCGAAAATGATGACTTAACATAGCAAAAGAAAGTCCCTGCATATGGCGAGACCAGCAAGATATTCTATTGTGCAAGATGCGGCTGTGGCTCCATCTACCCTACAAGCCGAAGCCGTGGCGAGGAGTTTCTATGCTGAATACGAAAATAGTTTCACATAGCAAAAGAAACAAGAAAGTCGCTCGCATATGGCAAGACCAGCAAAATTTTCTGTTGCGTACCCATCAAAATCAATTCAGTTTAGGCAACGATATTACAGCGAGTGCGGACCACCACTCATCACTCATCAGAATATAGAAAAACAGTATTTTTTTCCTTTTCCTTTTTTTTTTTCCACGACAAAATAACTAGTGTAGCTCTCGGGCAAACAAGACCATACTTTTATTGTGATCGTACAGACATTCTATCAAAAAGCAGCAGCGAACTAGTAGCTCCACAAGAAACATCCTCGTCTTCTTTCTCCAGACTCTGGGCACTCCTGGTTTAGTAGGGCTCCACTGGTGCCCTGAACTTTGCTCCAGCGTAGACTGCGGCATCACCGAGCTCTTCCTCGATCCTGAGCAGCTGCAACCGCGAATGTTTGGTTCAGACTCGAGAGCCGTAAGCATAACCTGGTTGGAAAACGAAGAAGCCTTGCGCAGGTGCGCACGCTTACCTGGTTGTATTTGGCCAGGCGCTCGGACCGGCAGGGAGCTCCTGTCTTGATTTGGCCCTGAAACGAAGTCATGGAAACCAGGTCAGCACCGAAGATGTTCAATTCGACAGTATCTTTAAGTGTACGTTCGCCAGTGGACAGCGTACCGTAGCCAGGCCAACTGAGAGGTCAGCAATGAAGGTGTCCTCTGTCTCGCCACTGAACAAATAAAGAGAAGATAGAACAATTGAGCGGAACAGATCAAATAGGAACGTTAGTTAAAGTTTTCAAAAGCAAACAAAGAACTACAATGGCTACCTCC